GGAAATTTACCCAAAGAAAACAAAATCACTAATTCAAAAAGACACATGCACCCCTTTGTTTATTGCCACATTATTTACAATAGCTAACATAGGAAAGGAACCTGAGCGTCCATCAATAAGTGGATGGATAAGGAAGATGTGGTAAACATACACAATGGAATATTATTTAGCCATAAAAAGAAATAAATGCTGCCATTTACATGGATGGACATAGAGGGTATTATGTTAAGTGAAATAAGTCAATCAAAGAAAAATACCATATGATTTCACTTTTAAGTGTAATCTAAAAAACAAAACAAACAAGTAAACAAATGAAACAGAAACAGACTCATAAACACAGAGAACAGACTGGTGGTTACCTTAAGGGAGGGCATCCAGGAGTGGAACGGTAGTAGGTCAAGGAGATAAAGAGGGACAAACTTCCACTTATAAATTAATCAAGGGATAAAAGTATAGCGTGGGTATATAGTCAATAATATTGTCTTAGTATAATTACACATGTTAACTACACTTATCATAGTGAGCCCTTAATTATGCATATAATTGTCAGATCACTATGTTGTTCACCTGAAACCAATATGATATTGTTTATCAACTACTTGAATTAAAAAGAAAATTTTGTTTGTGACCCCTTGGAGGTCATGTAGGTTAGCTCTACATATTCTACAACTCCCAGACCAGTAGGCCTGCACGTTGGGCAATGCTAGGCACAGAAGGTCGGCCCACGCGGCCAAGCTGCTGGTATCGGCCCCTACCTACCCCCAGGCCCTTCTCCTGATGGCCTTTGAGTACTCCAGCCCCTCTGCTACTGACCATACCTTTGGAGTCAGGCCCTCCCTGTCTCCCATCCCTCTGGCCCCAAGCCCGCTGACAACTCTTAACCTACCTCCTGTGCTCTAGAACGCTCGTATCCTTCGACTTTGCCGCCCCGCTGCCCACAACCCAGACTCTTGGGCCCCGGTGCCCTGACACCCCTGACAGCCCTGCGGCCTTTGCCCTCCGATGACCATCTTCTTGTACTCTCTGGCCTGTTTGGTTCTCCTCTATTTCTAACCCGTTATCCAGCTCCCCTGCACAGTTCCCTGTTTTTCAACACCTTGTCCCTGGTCTTCCCAAGTTCCTTTACCTCCATCACTCTCCCAGCCTAGACCCTAAAGATCCCGAACTTTGGCCCTTCAGACTACACCTTGGCCCCTTCCCTCTAACCCAGGCCTTGGCCTTCAGCATCTGTGATCACCAGCTCTATCTTGCTGGTTCTTCTTAGACCTGGCCCCTTCTCCACTGCTTCAGTCCCTTCCACCCTTGGCCCTCCCCGGACCTCTGAGCCTCCTGGGAAGAAAAGCTCAATGGGCTCCTCTCTCCCCCACATCTCTGAAATGAGATACGAAAATGCCTCTCTGTGCTTTACCTGCCCTTGCCTTCTCAGTAGCGAGCTCTGCATCTCCACAAGTCCCGATCTTGCTCACCCATCCTGAAGTCCTAGCTCGAATACCACCTTTTTGGTCATGGTGCTCATCCCTGATCTCTTCAAGGAGATAGGCCTGTGTCACCTGAAATCCTGTAGCACCATTTTAATTTCCTTCCTTCCTTTGTCCTTCCCTCCCTTCTTCTCTTCCTCCTGTACTAGCGTAATGCTTAAAAGCACTGGCTTGGAGTGCTGGAACAGGTCAGAGTTCTGCCACTCACTTGCTATTGCCCTTGGGCAAGTTACAATCTCTCTAAGCCTCAGTTTCCTCATCCCTGAAGTAAGTTGTGAAAAAGAAAAGTGATGATTCACATGTAGTGCTTAGTCCAGGGCTTAGCACTTAGTGTGATAAAAAATGTTAACTATTAATATTACTGGTTCTTGTACAATGTGCCAGGTACTGTGCAAGGCACTGAGGAGTGGGTACAAAGGTGACTAAACTTTACCTTCTACACTGTGTGATAGTTTCTGGAGCTCACAGGCCTGTTTCACCATGAAATGTTTGAGAGGAGTAACCAAAGCCCTAAATCCTTTTGCTCTTATTTTGACCCAGCATTCAGCACTGGATAGGGTCAGAGGTTGGTATATTATAGGTTCTCAGAATAGTAGGACTAGAAGCGGGTGGAGGCCTTGTAGCTCATTGCATAGAGCTACTGGAACCCGGGTGGGGTAGGCTGGGGTGGGGAGTGAATTAAAATCATATCCGTTCACTCACACATTCGAAAAACATTTGAGCTCTGGACCTTACACGGGGGCAGGGATTACCAAAATGACCCATATTGCCCTTGGGCAAGTTACAATCTCTCTAAGCCTCAGTTTCCTCATCCCTGAAGTAAGTTGTGAAAAAGAAAAGTGATGATTCACATGTAGTGCTTAGTCCAGGGCTTAGCACTTAGTGTGATAAAAAATGTTAACTATTAATATTACTGGTTCTTGTACAATGTGCCAGGTACTGTGCAAGGCACTGAGGAGTGGGTACAAAGGTGACTAAACTTTACCTTCTACACTGTGTGATAGTTTCTGGAGCTCACAGGCCTGTTTCACTGAACTGTACCATGAAATGTTTGAGAGGAGTAACCAAAGCCCTAAATCCTTTTGCTCTTATTTTGACCCAGCATTCAGCACTGGATAGGGTCAGAGGTTGGTATATTATAGGTTCTCAGAATAGTAGGACTAGAAGTGGGTGGAGGCCTTGTAGCTCATTGCATAGAGCTACTGGAACCCGGGTGGGGTAGGCTGGGGTGGGGAGTGAATTAAAATCATATCCGTTCACTCACACATTCGAAAAACATTTGAGCTCTGGACCTTACACGGGGGCAGGGATTACCAAAATGACCCAGTATCTGCCCTCAAGTTACTTGTAAACTACAGTGGAAACAGATATATGAGAAGATCATTGCAAAACACCATAAAAGCAAGTGTGTAGAATATTCTGTGAGTACGTAAGGGAGGGAGTGAGCAGGAATTAAGAGATTGCTGAGAAACAGTGGATCAGAGTAGAGACAAGCAAGCATGAAATGGGTCTGGAGACAGGCTGGCCTTCATTTATTCGGTTCATTCAACAAATATCCAGGATCTACTATATATGACTGTCATTACTAGGAGTTTGGGTTACATTAGTGAATAAAATAAAGACCCCAGCCCTCATGGGACTTAAATTTTAGCAGGGGGAGGCACGACACTAAAAGACATAAATAAGTACAATGTTAGAAGGTGGGAAGTGCTGTGGGGCAGGGAACTCAGAGTGTGTGGGGGAGTTGTAATTTTTAAAAGGATTGTCATGAAACATACGAAGGAATAAACTGTTTCTGGTTGTTTACATTTTTTAATTGAAGCAAGCCTATGATTTGTCACATTGCTTATATAGATTCTTCAAGAAACAGAGATTGGTAAATTATAGTTTGTCTCCTTTTGTTTCAAGTAAAGTTTTATTGGACTACAGCCACACATTGATTTATATATGGTCCGTGGCTGCTTTTATGATACAACAGCAGAGTTGAGTTGCAATAACAGAGATCCTATGGCCCCAAATATTTATTAAATATTTTCTATATGTTCCTTTACAGAAGTTTGCTGGCCTCCACTCCTGAAAGATTTGAGGTTCTGTCTTTATTTCACATATTATATAGTAAATTATATAAAAATTACATAGTCTTGTACCAATTTTTAATTAAAAAATTTTTTTTCTTTCCTAACGAGGTCATGTAAGGGCTCTTTTTCATTCTTGTATTCTCCATAGTGCTAGGACAATTGTAATAGTAGCTGTCATTTACTGAAATGACTAGTACATGCCAAACATTACAATGAGTGTATTATAGACATTTCCTCTAACACAAGGCCCTGCATGTAGGTAGGTATTACAATGTTAGTGATGTGGGAGTTGAGGCTCAGAGGGGTTGAATAATTTGCAGTTATAAAGATAGTATGTGTCACCGTTGGGATCCAACCCCCTTCTATTACTCTGTGTTGCTGTTTTCCAAAAATACTTGCTAACTTGAAGGAATTCTCAGTCTTTGATTATCTGTCATCAGTGCTGTATCATAGTCTTCCCTCCCTCATCTCTTTGTTCATGTCACTCCAGCAGCCCACTTTGCCTTTTGAAATGTCATTATTTCTTCAAGGCCTGGAGGAAATACCACTTCCCTATTATCAGAAGTACTTTCATCTGCCCCTCATTCTCTGTGCTTGGCTGTAGGAACTCAGAGGAAACTGTAAAGCTTAGCAAGTATTTACTGATGCTTGCGTAAGGTAGGCCCTGTGCTGGGTGCTGTGTGTGTGTGTGTGTGGAGAGTGTGGTTGTGCATCTGTGTGTGTATGTGGCAGTGTGTGTAGTGTGTGTGTATATGACTTCATGTGGTTTGAGAGTATAGCTGTGTGTATAGTGTATGATACGGAGCTGTGTATGTGGCTATTTGTGTAGGAGAGCTGTGTATGGTATATGCAATGTGTATGGCTATGTATATGTGATTGTGTGTGGTGTGAGAATGTGTGTATGTGTTTGGTATGTGAGTATGGCTGCATGTGTGGTTGAGTGTTTGTGTGTGGCTGTCTATGGTGTTTGAGAATGGAGGTTGTGCTGACCAGTCAGACACAGCAGGTCTTAGGGGGCTCAGATGTTAACCCTTTTGTTGCTAGATTATGGGGGTGTCTGGGGAAGGCAAGGGTAGGCTTTAAAAACAACTAGGAGACCCTCAAGAATGAGAGGTTCTATTTGTTTATTTGAAAGCAGACAAATAGATGGATACTTTTATGGAAGGTTTTTCAGAAAAGATTAAATATAATAGGAGTTTCAGTTAACTTATAATTAGGCAGAAAAATTGAACTCATTCCCAAGTGGAAGGCCCTTTACTTGCACATGAATTATAGTCTAGATTAGTACTATTTAGCACTATTAAGAAGTGATATTACTCAGTTTGTACAAATACCATCTGTTGGGGGTTAGACAAAGCTGGTGCCTTCTTTTTTTACTCTGGTGGGTAGCTTTAAATATCTGTGGAAGTTTGTCACTTAAAAGTAAGTAATTAAAGGCATTCTATCTATCCCAGTTAATTGAGGTTATTTCTGGTGGATGTTTCCTTGAGGAAGGTGTATACTCCTTCCGCCAGAACAAAAGATTCCCTGTGGTCTGGCCTGACCCAAGGAATAAAGGTGTTGGCCATTTGTGTTCATTCTTAGGGTACCAAGATGGGCAGTGAAAAGGAGCAGAATCCAGAACAGCACCTGCCTGAGGAAGGGGAACAGGGTAAGCCTTGGAGAGTGGATGACGCAGAGGGTTTTCGGATCCCAGGTGGGGACAAAGAGCATGGGCAAGAGAGCCTGTCAGAGGGACCACAGGCGATCCATCTAAAAGAACCATGGCAGAAAGTCATTGTCCCTGTTGGAGAGCCAGGGGACCCTATTGTTCATCCAAGGCCTGAGACTGATGAGAAGCCCTTTATATGTGCCCAGTGTGGCAAAACCTTCAATAATACCTCCAACCTGAGAACACACCAACGGATCCACACAGGCGAGAAACCTTACAAGTGTTCTGAATGTGGCAAGAGCTTCTCCAGAAGTTCTAACCGCATCCGGCATGAGCGGATCCACCTGGAAGAGAAGCACTACAAATGTCCCAAGTGTCAGGAGAGTTTTCGGCGGCGCTCTGATCTCACCACACACCAGCAGGATCACCTGGGCAAGCGGCCATACCGCTGTGACATCTGCGGCAAGAGCTTCAGTCAGAGCGCCACGCTGGCTGTGCATCACCGGACCCACCTCGAGCCTGCGCCTTACATCTGCTGTGAGTGTGGGAAGAGCTTCAGCAACAGCTCCAGCTTTGGCGTGCACCACCGCACCCACACAGGCGAGAGGCCTTATGAGTGCATGGAATGTGGGCGGACCTTTAGTGACATCTCCAACTTTGGAGCACACCAGAGGACCCATAGAGGGGAGAAGCCCTACTGGTGCACTCTTTGTGGGAAACACTTCTCCCGGAGCTCAAATCTCATCCGCCACCAGAAAACACACATGGGAGAGCAGGCTGGGAAAGATTCCATCTGAAGGAGAGTGAGGGAGAGAGAGATCCCAACCTAGTGTGTGAAGATCTCTAGGATCTGCTGCTGTACGCTTGACCTCAGATCTTCATCCCACTTGGGAGAATGTTTTCCTGTTGCCTCTGAAGCCAGGATTTCCAGGGAGTCCTGAAAAGGGACACTGAGCAAAGACCTTATCTCTTCCCAGGCCAGTTTCTTGCCTTGGAGAGTCAGAGGACCAGTCTTGGCTTCATCTCTTTGGGATGAAAGAGAAATAGGGTAGGCTTAGTACATGCTCCTATAATTAGGGCAACTGCCCCCTGGCCTTTGAAGAAGGACCTGTGAGATGGGCATCACTGGAGTTTCTCCAAATTGAATGTGATTTGCTTAAACCACATTGCAGTGGTCTGCTAGGTCCCATCTGCTGTGCCCCAACTGGGCTGGGAGGAGCAGCCTTCCCACTAGAAGGGGCCTCCTGGGCCTGGAGAAGAGGTCTGGTCCTGCCTTAGGAGTGTAAGGGAAGCCCTCAGGGAGCTGTGATCCAGGGACCTTCACACGGCCCCATGTTTGTCACTTGTTAACCCCATCCCAATCTGAATCTTTCCTGAGTGATTAGCAGTAAAACCCTTCAATGAAAAGGACCTGTGTACTTATTTGTGGGCATCAGAGAAGTGGGTTGCTGGGGGAGATGGTCACATTGTCACCACTCTGGAAAGGAGTTGAATTCCAAGAAGGAGAATTGGTATCTGCTCTGAAAAGCAAAGGAAAAAAGCAGACTGAGTTTCTGGGGCCTTTGAAGAGGAAAGATAAAGAAGTAATGTTAATTAAGCATCCACTATATGCCAGATTCGACAGGTCACACATTCTTCATCTCATTTAGTTGGCACAGCAACCCTCAAAGGAATAAGATGAGGAAACAGAAGTGAGGAAAGGTGAAATCAATTGTTGTGAAGTCATACAGCAGGTATGTGGTGGAGCCAGAGTTTAAATTTGAGCATCCCTTAATGATAAGCTGATGATCTTTTCACTATATTCACTTTTGCGTCTGAAAGAGGAGCCACTTATGGGGCTGGCATGGAAACAAGTGATTCCCTGGAAGTGGGAGTTAGCCTGGCCCCCTAATGTGGCCCTGGATCATTTACTCTGTGGGAAGTCAGAGCCAAGCACAGGACCCTTTTCCACATTATATTATTGATTGCCATTAATTCTGTGCCTAAGAAAAATGACAGTGTCAGAATAGGGGATGAAGGGTGGGATAAGCCCATAATGAGCCTCTGCTTTTAGTAGCAATGGTTTAATTCCCAAGGTGAGTACAGCCTAGCAGGGATCATACCTGGCTTTCTGCCCTTCTGGCTCCACATGGCACATTTCAGTGTTTTCTACATGTAAGTTTAATGTTCAGTCAGATTTCCTCCAGCAAATAAAAAAGACCCCTCTCTACCTCTCTTGCCAATCTGAGTTCCTGCTTTTCCAGAGTAAGTGACCCTCTTCATTTGTAGTCATTTGGCAGAATGTGATTCTGGCACCAGGCTTGCAACTGGCACCACACTCATGACCTGACTTATCACAGTGGGTCCTGCCACCCACCCAGGAAATGATGTACAGGAGCTTTATACTCATCATCTTACTGAATTCTTACCAGAACCCTGTGAAGTAAGAGCTATCCGCATTTGGCAGGTGTAGAAACAGGCTGACAGAAAGTGACTTATCCAAGATTACCTGGCAAGTAAATGGCAGGGTCACGAAATAAACCTACTTCTGCCCAAATCCAAAGCCTATATTTTTCTCATCTTTAAGATTTCCGAAATGATTCTTTGACATTTGTAGAACACCACACTTTACAAAGCACTTTTATTTCATATACATTTTCCTGCTCATTGAAATTCTCCATAAAGCGTATTTTAAGCGCATAGTCTCCCAAACTTGCATTTACCAATTGGCACATGTAATAAAAGTTGCCATCAAACATGAACTGTGCTCATTATTGTACACCTATTATCTCTGATCTCCATAACTATCTTGTAAGGTAGTAGAATCTTGTAAGATAAAATTTTGAGAGATTAAATGACCTGACCTAATGGCTAAGTTGGGATTCAAGTCAGGTATGTTGATTCCTAGGCTGAGCTCTTCATCACACCCACTACCAAACTAGGTCTGCTTGTCCCTGCTCAGTCTGGGAAGCTTGGTGTCATTATCTTTCCAGACCCAGAGCCTTAGTGACAATTGCTGTAACTTCTGGCGGCATCTGCTGCCAGTAAAAGCCAAGACCAATGTACCAGGCACGTGTACTTGATTTTGGGATGTGACTTGCTGGCCAATCTTATTTTCCCTTTTTTGATGAAGTTCATAGGCTAGGGTTTCTGTGTTTGTGCAGACTTTTGTGTTCTGATAGTGCATTTATTTACTGACTTCCGTTTTTTGTTAACCTCTTTAATGTTCTCCTTCATTCACTTTGCCTCTTCCCCTTCTCCCTTTCTCCTCTCTCCCACCTAGTTGCTGGGAATGCTGACAATGAAGATGTGACTCCTGTTGTGTTCTCTGAGTGCAGGAGATGAGCACATAAACCCAGAGTTACAATGCAGGGTGACAGGGGTCATTGCAGTTGTACCCAGTGTGCTATAGGAGCCCAGGGGAGGGCTTTCACCTGGACTATACCAGACTTTGGGGTCCAGAAGTGAATAAGACATAGTGCTCCCTGCAAGGAACTCACAGGAAGAGGAACTCATCTCTGAGCCAGGTGTTGGTGGGAATGGTTAACTGAAAGGGAGAAGGCTGAGGCTGACTGAATATGGTCTTGAAGAATGAGTAGGTATTTACTAGGTAAAGAGGAAGGTTATTTCAGATGGAAGGGGAGGCTTAGTGTTTTAGGGAACAGTGAAACATTTGATGAAACCAGAGTGTCCTGTGAGGAGATGAAGCTGGTAAGGTAGACAGACCACATCTTGAAGGGTGTTAGAAGGCTAGGATAAAGACTTTTGGGCTATAGACAATAGAGAATTTTAAAGCAGGGGAAGGGCACGATCACATTCACCCTTTAGGAAGAACACTTAGGCTAATGTGGAGGATGAACTAAAGGGGAGCAAGTAAGTTGGGAACATGCTGTATATATAAACCAGGTGCCAGTTGGGGCCGTCCTGATCCACAGAGAGCTCTGTATGATTGCCTCAGAGCCTTGCTGACCCCACAGAATGGGAAAGTCTGAACCTTCCACACAATTTCTGCAGATTCTGGGACTTACGCTCTCAGTCTTCTCTTGCCTGAGGTTCCTGTGGTCTGTGCAGCCTCTTTTCTGTCCCTGTTAGCCCTGTCACAAAACTAAGTACCTTCTCTGGCTTCCCCAAGAAGTTGTCACACCAAGCATTCTATAAATTTAGAGTCCCTTTGAGAAATTGGGAGTCTTGGGGAGGGGCTCATATCAAGGCATCTCATTAGTTTCCTCTCTTCCATTACTCCCCTTTCCCCCTCTAATTGCCCTGGAAACTTCAGATTGTTTTACTGTATTATAAAAAGTTATTTAGCTTCCCTCAGGTCCTCATGCTAATTTGCATACACAAACACATCAAGGAGTTCAGCAGGACAGTCCTCACCATTTAACAGCATACACTCACCCTATAAAGCAGTTGCAAAATAAATACCCTTGGAGATTGGCAAAGTATGTAAGCATATTAAAGTTTCAAGACACTCATCTAAGCACAAGTGATTGTTATCCTTTCCTTCTGAGACCCCACTAAAATATATATATATATAGACACAACAGCAGAGAATGGCAGGGAAGGGGGTGGCAGGTGCTGAGACTTCAACAAATTTCTACAATTAGATGACATACATCGATGGTTCAACAGAGTGGATGAAGCCATAGCCCAGAAATAGGCAATGAAAGCAAGATTCAGTTCCTCAGAGGCTCTAAGTTCATAATTATAAGTCCTGAAGGCAGACATGAAAAGTGGACCTAAAAACTAGGGAATTTGTAGAAGGTCTGTCTATGCAGCTCTACCTATCACCCACCTCTTACCTGTAGAGAATGGCTGGCATTTACCCCCATACAAAAGCAAAACAGAAAAACCCAGAAGGCTCATTCTACAGAAATCTAATAAATCTCTATGAAAAATTGAGTGTATTTAGTGTGGTGTTGACATCCCAGAATAAAACTTTTTGTCATTCTGACATTTACAAATACTCTCCCCCCTCTTCACCCAACAATGATCCATCTATCCAGTCTAAAGTAAAGACTGTCAGAAGACCTTCCTCAGCCTTCCTGTTCAAGATGGTGGCCTCAGGGAAACAGCTACAGCAACAGAGGAAATAATACAGTAACAGAGGAAACCAACTCAATTATTGAGATTAATCAATTTGGTATGTTAATCTGTAAAGGCAAACAGGAGCACCAGAATTATGAAGACAGCTAGAAACATGAAAGAGACAAGGGAAAGAGAATGAAGTGACTCCAAACACAGTTGTAATGGAACAGTAGAATCTTTAAAAGTTCTAATTATATCCTCAGGAAGATCTGGGAAGATATTACCTTCATAAAACAAGAAAGGTTGCCAGTGGAAAGGACCAATTGGAAAATAAGAAGCAGATTTTGGAAATCACACATATGATAGCTAGGATAAGATATTCAAGAGATCACTTGGAAGATAAGATCAAGCCCTTAAAATGTAGAGCAAAAATACAAAGACATGAGAGGAAATAAAGGACATAGAAGATGAACCTGAGATTCTTACGATGAAGATTGTTGGTTGTCCGTTAAAATCTGTTCACCCATTTTTTGGGAACACTTATCTAACCAACATTTCCCAGCCTTTGTAGTTAGGTATAGATATGACTTAAGTTCTTGCCATTGGAAAATAAGCAGAAATGGTATTAACATTTCTGATCTTAGACTTCAGGAAAGCAGGCATGTTTTTACCTCATTTTCTTCCCCCTTTACCCCAGCTATAACCTGCAGGAACCCAGCTTTGATGGTTACAGACTATATAATACTCTAGTCTTGGCAGATAAAACAGGGCACCCAATTATTTTTGAATTTCAGATAAACAATTTTTAGTATAAGTGTGTCCCAAGAAACTACATACTAGTGGATAGCACAGCAACAGAATAAAAGGAACTAGGTTTTGAATGTGAATTTAGTATATAGCAATGCTACCCCTTACCTGGATGCTCACAACTGTTAGAGAGAAATACACTTTCATACTCTAAGCCACTGCTTTGTTGGGTCTCTTTTTTACAGCACTCTAACCTTCACCATAACTAAAACTCAGAGGTAAGTTTCCTCCATAACAAGACTGTGGCAGATCATAGTATAGACGGTGTCTTACTAGTAACATTGGTCATGTTTCCCCACATTTTAACATCTCCAAAATTGGAATATGTCCAATAATTGGTGCTTTTTTAGATTAAGTGAGATATCACATTGTAAGAAAAAGATGAGACAGTGATGTCAGCAAGTCTTAGCCTTTACTCCCCAACAGAGAAACTGACTTAATAACAATGTATGGACCAAAATACCTTAATTAGAACTCCATAAACTCACAAGCCAGCACAGCTCATCTCAGGTTATTCTTCTGGGTGGTCAGGGGAGAAAAATGAAACATGCACCCAACATTCTGGATATCAGAAGGCTGCCTGAAGGATTGGT